TACATTTATGGACTTTGACATATCATACATAGATGGGATATAATTTTTCACTTTTCTGTTTGTACATATTGTAGAATCACATTGGTCATTCAATCATATATATATATATATATATATATATATATATATATATATATATATATATATATAAAATAATGATATTTGTCTCATTCTATTATCATTCCTATCCCCATATACTTTGATATTTTCTATTTTATTGTAGTATATATTTTCCAAATAATTTCTAATGATATTGTGTATTTCAGACATGTCTGTTGTAATATTTGCTTCTTCATCATGAATTTGAGTAATTCAAATTTTCTCCTTTTCTCATTACAGTGATTAAGGGTTTATCAATTTTATTTATTTTCCCAAACAACCAGGTTTTTGCTTTGTCAATTTTTTCAATTGTTTCTCCTGAAGTCTCACTTTTGGAAGACAGATTTTTTTGGAAATGGGTGTTGGTGATAGCTACAGAGCAAGGTGAATGTAATCCATACAAATTGATAGTGCACTTAACAAGGTACACATGTTAATTGTTGTTGCATAGATCTCATGCTAATAAATGGAAATATAAGAGAATATTTAAAAAGAAAAGAAAGAAACCCAGTGCATAGAGACTGAACATCCTTCTGAATAGAGAATGAGCCCCAAACTTCGCTGGGCTTCCATTTCCTCTTCTTTTTTCCACTGATAATATTAAAACATCCTCAGAGGATTGGATGACCTGTATCAATTTGTTTAATTGTGACCTGTGTGTGTTGAACCTCCAAGGTCACATAGTGAATAAAGAGCCTGTGCCTGCAACCTGTCACTTGAAAGCTTCTGCCCAGTGGGGCCCAGGCCTCTGTGTCCTCCCCCCATGGCTGTCTGCATGGGGAAGCTCATATGTGGCACTGTATTTATATTAACACTGAGAACAGAGCTGGAGCCTTCAGTGAGCATGAGACAGGCTGTTGCGCCTGATTTTGCCAACCATGGTCATGACCCAGCAGGGGAGCAGCTTAAAGCAGTAAGTGTGGAGGGAGAGGAGGGGTAGAGCAAGGCCTCTTTTAACACTCTCTCCTCCCTGTCAGAACTGATGTGAGGAATTTGGTAGCAACATGGGGACAGGGATAGGCAAATATTTAGCTTTGATGTGTGTGCAGTTTGGATTCTGTTTTGTTTTATGAGTTCCAGGCAACACATTCAAATTTTGCTTTTCTCCAAAACTTGCTTGCTTGCTGGAGACACCTCAACCATGAAGGCATTGGGTCCCACCACTCTGTCTTTTGGCATTGCAGATTTATTATGTAGAGGATGATGGCAAAGAGGAGGACTCTGGTCCCCATGGCATATTCTCTGACAATCAAGGGTTTCCCGTGTGCCAGGCTCTGGGTTACAGTGCTAGTAAAGGTCGTTTTATTTCATGTCATCTGCAGAGTTTTCCCCAAGACACTAGTGCTTATTTTTTCCAGAAAAGGAAGGAGAACAGCATTTTTTACAACTATTATGAGGTAGACTGGTAAAGAAGAGTGAGGAGAGTTTCAATGGGTCTGACTAAATACAGACAGAGGGCACTTTCCAGGAGAATCCTGGCAAATGATTCCCTAAAGAACCTCAGGAGACATTTCACATTCCTGTCCCTCCAGGTCAATGACCCAGGACTACAGAGTCCATTTCCCGACTCCCCTCTCAGGGTACCACGTCCTCTCCAGGCGCCCTGGCCCAGGGTGCTCTCCCATTGTGAGTCCTGGCAGAACAGAGTGGACCGCAGTGTCTGGTATCTGCCACACCAACTACAGCAAGGACAGCTCAGGGTCACAGGCCAGGATCACAGAGGAGCAGGCACAGGATAATCCAGCAGAGATTGCCTCCTGACCCTCCTGGGTCACCCCGCAGTTGTCCACATCCATGCCCACTCTTGGGTTCTACTCACTCAATCCCCAAAGCAGAGAAACAGTCTAGTGGTTTGTTTTCTTCCTAATCAGAGCATTGGCCAGAGTTTAAACATGTACCTCAGGTGTCCCTGTGACTTTGAACCTTTGGTTTACCTACTGAAATTTATGATTTGTGGGAAGCAATAAAAAATGTCAGTGCAATTGGAGCCAATCTGTTGCTCCAACTTGTCCTGTCTGTGCTCAGGGAAAGTTAGTACTCTGTCACTCAACATTGTCTTCTGGAATTTTTTTTTTACAACTGCATTGAGTAATCAATAAACATAAAAGAGCACTCCCAATGTGGTTAATGTGTGATGAATGTATACAATAAGGGTGAAATACATATAGGACATTATTACCAGTAGTAATGACATATTCAAGCTTATGTGTATCCATACAATTGAGCTAAAATATCCTTTTATTTAAAGTTACTGTTTCCTATTTCAGTAACAGGGCATGTTATTTTGTCCTTCTATAAGATCATGCTGTGTTTGGAGAGGAATGCCTAATCCCCTTTCACTTCTGATTCCTCAGAGTTTAACTCTTGTTTGGCACAGAGGAGGCTTAAAAATTTTTAAATGTCTTTGTTAAATATTAAATGGGCTCCTCCTTGGTTACAGAGCTTTTCCATAGTCAGTGTGGCTTCAACACACTTGGTACCCTCCTCTCTACACTTTAATCCCTTTCAGGAATGTCAAAATGAACACGACACAAGAAATAACAGCTCTTGCTGTGTTTATATGGTGTGCACATGAGCTTATACATTATACAGTTATTCAGAATGATGACAGAGACATCTATGGGTTACCAAAATATGAAAGAGGACTAAAGAAAGTGGCAAGTAATCTCTACTTGATGAGTTGTAACTTGGAGTTATCTCATTTCAGTATTTGCTAGCATTTTGAAAATGTTTTTTATCAATAAACTCACTTCCATAAGGATTGAATTCTTTGCATGCTAAAACAATAGATGGCCAAATGTTTACTAGGTCCAGTAGTGTCATGCATGCTTTGTATGTAGGAGATAAGGGTGCTTTCATCCCCATTTGCATTAAGCAGTATGCACCCAGGGAGGTGGAGAGATGTACACACTTTCCACATATATTGGCAGGTCAGTGAGCCAGGACTGAAATGTGGATGTGTTGACCCCCATATCTGGATGCTGGGCCCTTTACTGAAATAAAAAGTAAAAAATATTATTCAGTATGGAAGATGACATTTCTTGGTCAATAATCACATCAGGATTATTACCAAATATACATTAACAGTATTATTTTATTTATACACAATTCCCTTTATAAACTAAAAGTTAAATGATTTATTTGACCAGAACTGATTTGTATTAAGACACCAAACATAAGAAATAGTAACATGGAGCATACATCAATTTCTGGAATTTAAATAACTATATGCCCATATTACCAGGAAATTTTCATTTCTGTGATAGGGAGACAGACATAAGAACTTCCAAGTATTTTTTGAAACAATAAACACTAGTTAAATGTTGTTCCTTCTCAGGATAGGATGTGTATCATGTAAATCATTTGAAATAGCTGCATGGACTTCACAGAAACACTTCAATTCACATGACTACGTGAATTAGTCCATTTCAGGGACATAGGATTTTGACTGCATGATAGGTAGATAATTTTAGAGTTTTTAGGAAGGTCTTAAAGAAAACGGCTTATGTATATACAAATTAGAACTGACATGTATATATCAAATAAAAATATACCCACATTGAGTTGGGGGTGTAGCTCAGTGGGAGAGCACTTGCAAAGCATGCCTAAAGCTCCTGCTTAGGCCCCCAGTGCTAAAAGTAAATAATAAAAATTTAACATGTATCTATTGACTGGTAAGAGCTATTTCTTTGGGGGAGCAAGTGTGCATGAGAATGAATTCCTGAAAAGAATAAAAGGAGTGAAATTTTATAGATGGCAATCAAGTCTCTCTAAATCACCATGTCTGAAATGAATTTTGCTAAATGTTTGTTTTTTAATTTGTGAAGTGGGTCTTTTGACAGCAGAAGTACATAGTATAATATATAGTATATATAGTACATAGTATAATTTCTACATACTGGCAAGAATTCTAAGGCACTGATTCTCAACCCTGGTGTAGGAAAACAACAACAATATTTTAAAATATTCACAGCTATATATAGTGATAAAGGGGATTACAATATAAGGAAGACTTTAATACCAGTTTTATAATAATACTAGAAGCTGAGAATATATTGTCTCCATTTTTTATATGAGTAAATGTCCAAAGAGTATTTATCATATTTCTGCTAATTTCTTCTTTTGAATTTTTTGCTGAATTATTACAGTATTCCCTCCAAAATCATAACCCAAATGGCCTTCAAGTAGCTGAGGTAAAAAAATTGCCTCCAAAGACAGATAGTATTGATGTGAAAGTCTATTATATGGTGTAAGAAAGAGGAACAGACTCACACAGGTTTGGGGGATTTCCCTGGTTCTACAGTCCTCAACCATTCATCAAAGAGTTTAAAATCACAAAAACAATGAGGTGTAAACCACAGGACACTGAACATTAATTTAAAAAAAAAAAAGAATTGTCTGCCTCTGTAGAAATTTTAGGGTATTGCAAGGTTCTGAAACAAATAATGTGCATAAAATATAGAACTCCAAATTATGTTCCAGCATTTCATTTCTGTTTCAATCCTGACATGTCCAGGGCACACAAATGCCATATCTGTGATCTGTGAAGCCAGGGCTTGTGCATGTAGTTAAAACACTTATTAAACTGTGAGAGCCATTTAAGTTAAGGGTACAAGTTCTATATTAAATAATTTTTAAAATACAAAGAAATTTGAGCAGGGATGTCAAATCCAAGAAAGGACTTATCCAAAAAGCCAACAAACTAAAAGTTTCATCGGCAATAACATGTTTTCTGATGTGAACTAACAAATTTAAGTAAATATTCAGCGATACAATCCTATTTCTTAGATAATGTTTTAAATAATTGAAATCAAAGGAATTGGTATCATTGTTTGAGTATTTGACATTTACTTGTTCCCTTTTCCAACCTTATTTTCTTTTTCAATAGTTGCCCAAGCAGAATAGAAGCTCAAAATCTATCACGTGTCTCAGAATTCTATCTCATGGGACTGTCAGAGGACCCAGACCTGCAGGCCCTCCTCTTTGGATTGCTCCTGTCCATGTACCTGGTCACAGTGCTTGGGAATCTGCTCATCATCCTGGCTGTCAGCTCTGACTCTCGCCTCCACACCCCCATGTACTTTTTCCTCTCCAACCTGTCCTTGGCTGACATCTGCTTCATCTCCACCACGGTCCCAAAGGTGCTCATGAACATCCAAACTCACAGCAGAGCCATCTCCTATGTGGGCTGCCTGACAAAGATGTCTCTTTTTCTCATTTTTGGATCTATGGATGATCTGCTTCTTACCGTGATGGCCTATGACAGATTTGTGGCCATCTGTAAGCCCCTGCATTACCACGTCATCATGAGCCCTCATCTGTGTGGCCTGTTAGTTTTGGCTTCCTTTTTGTTTGGCTTTTTAGAATCCCAACTGCATAATTTGGTAGTATTACACTTTCCCTATTCCAATAGTGTAGAAATTGCTAATTTCTTCTGTGACTCTTCACAGGTTCTTAATCTTTCCTGTTCAGATACCTTTACCAAAAATATAGTCATGTGTTTTGCTGGTACTGTCTATGCTTTTCTTCCTCTCTCAGGCATCTTTTTCTCTTATTATAAAATTGTTTCTTCTATTCTGAGGATCCCATCCTCAGGTGGAAAACACAAAGCCTTCTCCACCTGTGGCTCTCACCTCTTGGTTGTTTGCTTATTTTATGGAACAGCTGTGGGAGTGTACTTTTCTTCAGATGAGTCATCTATCACTGGCAAAGGTGCAATGGCCTCTGTCATGTACACTGTGGTCACCCCCATGTTGAACCCCTTCATCTATAGCCTGAATAACAGGGACATTAGAGGTGCCCTGAGGAGGCTGCACAGGAGAACAGTGTGATCATAGGTCCTGTGGCGTCTGTTTAGAATGTATTCTGGAAATGCAGCAAAACTATACATCTAGACATTAGATCCTGCCTCCTTGATCGCACTATTTTTTTGTAGTGTGACGTCTTTATTTTCTCAAGATGTTTCATAGTGGAATGGTTGGTTTTCAGGGATGTGTAGAGGTTCTATGTTTGGGATTTGGGTCTCTGATAAACTTTGTGATTGTGGCATGCTTGGTGAGTAGGAGGTTTCTGTGCAGAGGCACAGGATGCCTGGCTGCTGTAGTGATGTCCTTCTTGTGGAAGCTCTCTGTTAAGAGTTTTATCAACCTCGTCCTGGATCTTAAGCACATAACTCCTGGGAATAAATGAACTTGCTTGTTAGATAACTACAATGTTTCACCAAGCTCCAGTGCTCCTGGATCTGCCCACTTAACAGTAACTTCACACAAGGGGCCTTTTTCAGAGCTGCACAAATCTCCTGACATTGCATATTGTAACTGTGGAATGTAAATGAAGAATCAGCAACCTTACCAATACTCTAAACAATAATGTGGTTAAACAATAATGTGGTTATGGTACTAATGACCTAATGTAACCTATTGGTTTAGATAAACGTGGCTGCTTGGACAAGCAACCATTTTCTTCCTGTCACTACACCTTTTCTCTGTGTCTGTCTTATTATTTTTCCTTGCAAAGATTAGAGAAGGCAGAATGCACAGGGTTTTTTTTTTGTTTGTTTGTTTTTGTTTTTTATAGTGAGTACACATTTTTAGTAACGAAGATGAAAATTCTGGGGGATGGTAATTAGGCCACTAAATGGCTCACTTAACCACAATTAAAGCAGTAACTTATTGTTATCTGCATCTTTCCACTGTAATTTTGAACCTAATAAGCAGATGGATCTTGAGGGAAATAGGGGAACAAAACAGTTAATATATGTACAAGCTTTGTTCTGAGTAGTGTCCAAATATGTTGTAGACATTCATTTTCTCTTCTTCCTGCACTAATGTAAGAATTCCTTTGAGACTGGGATATTATGGACCTATTTGCCTAATTCTGAGTTCTGTGGTTTGACTCCAAATACCTTTGCCTCTAGTCCTTTGGTTTTAAAGCTCTAGTCCAGTGGGCTCCACATCTGTGTCCTCCACCCATGGCTTTCTGTATCAGGAAGTTCCCGAGTGTCTCTGTACTAATGTCAATTGCTAGAATGGAGGCTGACTCTTCACTGGGCACCAGTCACAGGATGGATTTCCAAACCATGTTCCTTGTTCATGGTCCAGCAGAGAAGCAGCACAACTCAGAGCCAAATGGGATGATGAATAGACAAATAACACTCTGAAACCCTGTTTTTCGTCATGGAGACTAAAGTGAGTTTTGGTCCATTAGATAGGAAGATACCAATCCTGCAGATTTCAGCTGAGTTCTGTGATCCACATGTATCTGTTTTGATGGGTCCTGGGAATCTCATTCCACATTTCCATCTCTTCCCAAACTGGTCCCACTCCCCCCAGACAGTTCGTCCATGAAAACAGAATGTGGGTTCCAGTAAACTGTTCCCTACGCACAGCAAAGGATTATAAACATGATTCTCAGGACCAGGAGGAGAGTGACAGCACCTTGAAGTCATGAATTGATCTGGAGGGATTCCTAGATGCCAGTATCTGGTATATGTGTTCTATGGTGTCTAATGTCCTATCATCTGCATACACTGTCCCTAATTTAAGGTCCTATATTACAATTATTTTCCAGCAAGGGAAGGAACACTGAAATTTTATGTTCATAATGCCAGGTTGCTTGGAATGGAAACACACAGGGGTCAAATTTCATATATCCATTCAAATCTCTATGAAATATCAGATGTGAAGCCCACATTATGAAGTGCTTATACTTTGGTATAGGTAGTGTGTGTTACTGACAGTGATAAAAGGTAATATTAATGGAAGAATTTCTAAGGAAATACCATGGAACAGTGGTCGTGGACGCTGGGGTAACAATGGACCACTAAGACCCTCACAGGTAGATATTCTGATTAAATGTATTTGGGACTGAGTACAAGGTTTTGAAATATTTTAAAATATCCAGAGAGAAATGCCATCATAAATGAGAATGTAACCACCAGTCTATACATTTTAAAAGATCTTAGAAACTATTCTTGCAACGAACCTGTTTTCTCAATTTTACACATTAGGAAATTTTCAAAGTGTATTTACATTATTTAAGGTATTTTTCTTAATTAATTTGTAGTAAGAGTGTGCATGTATGAATATGTAACAATGAATCCCACTAATATGTGTAATTATAATACATCAATAAAGTAAATAAACTGATTAATTAATAAAACTTCTCTAAAATGTAATAGCGAGAGGTGACCGTTTGTGAACCTGAGTTTCCTCTGCGAGCTGGAGTGAGTGTGTTGCAATCCACGGGTGGGGCAGCATTCCCGTGCCAACCTCTTCTTTTGGCAAAAGAACAATGAGACTAAAGCATGAGGTTTGAGGCCTTCCATGTTGCTAATGTCCTCAACCAACTACCACAGAGTTTGTGATCAGAAAAATAGTGAAACAGCATGAAAAGGCCACTGCCAAGTCCAGATCACACAACATGAAAGCAGAACCTTGTTATCGAGAGCAGATAATTATGAACTATGAACATTCACTTAAGATGAAGACAATTTGGTTCTCACTATTGGACAGTGTGTTAAATATTCTTAATAAAAGAAAGTTGTCAATTTGTCTTAGAATAAAATAAAGTGTGTTTCATTTTATTCTAAGACAAATTTTATATTTTATATATATGTGTGTGTGTGTATGTATATATATATATATATATATATATATATATATATATATAATTTTAATAACATGTACTTAACTTTCAAAACAAATACAATAATGTATTGTTAAGTTTATAAAATAAAATTAAGTGTTTGTTACAATGATAATAATAGAAAATAAAATAAAGTATATCCTTTTCAGGGACATATGTATGAAATACTTTAATAATACTTGAAGCAGACAAATATAATTAAAAACAGAACACATTAAATTTTGATAAATATGCACACAATTTCATTTCCTTAATTAGGGTGATTTTTCTTTCTAAACAGACAAGGCTATATTAAAATATTTTCTTTAAAGTGTTCGACTTATCTTACTGTGATGATGGAAGTTTTATCAGTAACATTCTGGGTCTTCCTACTTCAGAAATCTTTTTTCCTTAGAAAAATTTTGCCCTCCTGAGACACAGTGTTATACACTGCTCACCCCTATGCTGAATCCCTTCATTTACAGCCTGAGGATATTTTCATTCATGCACATAACATGAAAGTTTCACAGAACAATCTAACTGTGACATGTATTTGGAATGTGGGTTAGGAAAAGGCACAAAAGTAAATATTTAGACTTGTAAATTCTGGCGTCTTCTTTATGTCATTGTTGTGGATTGTATTCCTAATAGTGTGGTGCTAGCCGGAGCTGGGACATGGAATGTATGGTGTAGAGAATCAGATGTGACTGCATTACTATTACTGTCCTTGATGGAGTCTGCCTGCAAACGGGATATTCTGTCAAGGTATAGATAGGTAACAGCGGACATGCTTGAAAACGAGGTGTCTGCTCTCCTTGGGAGGGCCTACTTGCAAACAAGAGGCTCCTTCAAGGTTTAGATAAGGTAACAGGGGACATGCTTGAAAACTAGGTGTCTACTGTCCTTGGGAGGACTTGCCTGCAAATGGGATGTTCTGCCAAGTGGGCTAGGAGGGCGCTGAGAAAAAATTTATTATCTGTTGAACAAGAGCACAGCTCAGCATGCTCCAGGCCGAGAGTAGATTAGCCATGAGAAGCAGGTCACTTCTGATTAGAAAGTAAAACTTCTGTATGCTATGTTTAATTAGCTGAAAGACCTGATTTATTGCTGTTGGAAGGCTGCCTTCTTTGTTCACAATACTATAAAAAGACTGCTGTATACAATAAAGGGGCTTTTTTTCTGCTGCTGCTTTGCTTGCTCTCCTTCTTCTTTCTTTTCCCATGCTGACCTGCAAGTGAATTACTGCAACAGTGTGGGGAGTTTTGAAAATGGGTACAAACTTTCAGTTTGAGAAGAGGAAATGTTTATACAGATGGATTATAGCAATGGTTGAACAAAATGTGGATGTAATTAAAACTTCTGAATTGTGTACCTACAAAGGTGAAAATGATAAATTGCTAAGTATATTTTACCACATAAATGATTAAAAAAATGGACATCAGTGTTTTTAAAAAGAAAAATAAATCAAGTAAATAATACCCCAGCGCTTTCTTCAGAGTAGACAAAAAAAAACCCATAAAATTTAGGAGACATTAATTTTCTCTTCTTCTTCCTCCACTAATATTAGGAAGCCCTTAGAGATTGGGAAGTCTTGGATTTATTTGGCTAATTATGAGCTCTGAGTATGGAGACTTCAAGGTCATGTAATAATATACAGTTGGTGCCTTCAGACGTTCAGTGTGATAGTTCCAGCCCAGTGGGTCCTAGCCCTGTGTGTCCTCCTTCCTTCAATAGGTATCTCCTCTCCTGTATTCCTGCCAGTCTTCAGAAGGGAGCCAGAGCCTTCAGAGGACACCAGATTGGGGAGTTGTTTTCAATCCATGGTCTTTGTTCATGGCCCAGCAGAGCAGCAACTTAACCCAATGAGTTCTCAGGGAGACATTGGATGGAGGAAGGCCGTCCATAGCACTGCCTCCTTATCCTAATGACAGATGTGACAGTTTGGGTGTGCAAATGGGAGGAGGCCGATTGGCACAGTTTTAGTTATAAGGACTGCTATTTTCATGTTCTTGGTTGATGAGGGTAGCAACACTTATTCAAACACTGTTTTCCACCCATTCTGGCTCTACCTTCAAAGGGTATCTCACCCATTCTAGTAGAAATTGGGTTCCCCAAGCTGTTTTTTATGCAAGCCAAAGAGATTATGAAGGGGATCATAAGGCTGGGAGGAGGATGGCAGTTTGCACAGTATCATGAAGCATCGCTG